CCCCAAAACCCCAAAACCCCAAAACCCCTGCAGTTAAAATATTATTTACGAAAAAACAAGACAAATGGGAAAATAAATTTTCAATGGAAAATTCTTTTAAATTAAATATTTTAAATTAATTATGAAGAGGTTTACTACTATTTAAGCATCTGTCTTGGCATTATTTTTAACCTAGTAAATATCTTGTCTCAAGTCCTCCGATTAAATTCAGCAAACCCCCAAATTCTTGTCTGATGCCAATACGGATAATGATGCAAAAATTGATAAGAAATTTAGCATACCTCTTGAGAAATCTGTTAACAGAGCTTAATCAAGATCAGAGAAAAACTTTGGTTTAAGATCTTAAGTAAAATCAATTCATAGACCCATTGATGGGAAAGGAGCAACAGTTAACCTCACTAACAACTATAACTTCGACTACATCGGAACCTTTTACGTTGGCAACCCTCCATAGCCTATTAGAGGATGTTTTGATACTGGTTCAGCAAACTCATGGATTTTGTCCTCTGAATGTACCACAGATAGTTGTAAAAATGGAATAAACCAGTTCTTTAATCCTGATAATTCACCTACGTTCAGTAATCTTCATTTGAGGGATGAAATTATGTTTGGATCAGGTAAGCTCTCAGGATATTTTGGTGAAGATGACTTCAGACTTGGCCTTGGTGATTATGGAATCACTATTCATAAGCAAACAATAGGTCTCATCATTGAGGAAGCAATTTTGGACAAGGACTATGATGCTATTATTGGATTAGCATATCCAAAGATGGCCTCCCACGGAAAGCCAATAATGGATAGCATGATTGATTAGAAACTTCTTGATACTAATATGTTTGCATTCTTCATGTCAATGACTACAAATGAACAATCAGAGTTAACTTTTGGAGGTTACGATGAGGACAGAGTGGATGGTGAAATAAACTGGCATCCAGTTGCTGATTAGCTGTTCTGGTCTCTAAATTTAGAGGATATTAAACTCAATGGCCAATCATTAGGAATTTGCTAAGACAGAAAATGTTTAGTTACTCCTGATTCAGGTACTTCACTTATGACAGCCCCAAGCTGGGCCTTTGAGAAGTTAAAGAAATTATTACCATATAAGGAAGACTGCAATGATAAAACATAATTTGGAGTACTAACTTTTGTTATCGATGGTAAAGAATATGATATTCCATCCCATCACTTTATGGAGAGATACATCAATGTCTTTGAATTTGGAGACTAAGTTTGCTCAACATCCATGTCCACTCTAAATATTGAGCAAGACGGGTAAGAAAATCTTTTCATAGTAGGTGACTCCTTTATGCAAATTTACTACTCTATTTTTGATCGTGATAACGATAGAGTTGGTCTTGTAAGAGCTAAGTAAACTCAAAGAGAGTAGCAGATTGCTCAGATTGATTGGAAAGCAATGAACGGTCAATTCAAGCCATAAAATGAGCATGAATAGAGATGAGATAATGCCTAATTCTAACTTAAATTATGGTGAATTCAATATCAAGAAGGTTAGATCTACCTATTAAATTGTTTAAATTAAAACTAATCCTAATATACTTATGTAAACTGACTCAAAAAGTAATGAGGGGTTTTGGGGTTTTGGGGTTTTGGGGTTTTGGGG